GGGAGGGGGAGAGGAGTGGGGGGAGGGGGAGAAGAGTGAGGGGGAGGGGGAGGGAAATGGGAGGCTGGGAGGAGGCGGAAACTTTTTTTTGCCTATTCTCAAAAAAAAAAAAAAAACTTCTCTTGTAGCTCAAAGACCCTTGAAACGTATGAGAGCTACATGGTGGGAACCACTAAGATTGGTTAGAAAAAATATTGCATATCTGTATTTGTTATTTCTCGTAATGTTCAAGAGGTCTACAAATCAATTTTGGAAGACAGTTCAGGATGGCATAAAAATTCTCACTTTCCAAATAGTCTACAGAGTAAGGGTTAAAGGTAGTCTAGCAATGGAATTCTATCAATGGCAGGCCTCTGTGTAACTACTTATTAACCCAATGTCTTTAGCCCTTAAAATGTATACATCTGGGCCAGAGATAGGAGCTTGCCACCAAACCCAAGGACCTGAAGCCAATTCTTCAGGACTCACACAGTGGAAGGAAAGAGGCAACACCCTGAAGGTCCCTCTGACTCCTACATGTGTACTGTGGCACATGCCGGCCTAGACACACACAAAACACAAACGTAAAAATACATTATAAGTTTAGTCATTTGGTCATTGAATGGTCTCACAGAAACTGTTTGTAAAACCCGCCTAACAGCTTTTAATGACTACTGCAGAGAGAAACAAATGCACTTGACTCCTGCCATTTTGAATCAGCTAAATTCTTAAACATAATTCAATAATCTTTTTAGGGAATTAGAATAAATGGCACGATGCTAAATAGGCAAGCACATTTCAGAAACTGTTATAAACCAGGAAGAAAAAAATATTCAAACATGGCCAAGTGTTAAAGTGCTCATTTTCTTACCTTCCACTTCCCACCTGCCACAACTAGGCTATTAACTAAGTTCTCCTACCCCATGAGTTTCTTGGTGATTATAAGATCAGGTAAGTGATTGTAAGTGCTTGAATATAATTTATCAATTCACTTAAAAATAAATAATCCACTTCTAGAATTTCAATAGGCGACAAGCCAAAGAACCTGGGGAATATCAGCTAAGAGTAATGAAAAGGCTGAGACAGCAGCTGACGGACTGGAGCACATTTCTGCTGAGTTTTAAACAGCAACCATGATACTTCCTTCACTTATAATATGAAGATGCTTCCTTTCCCTTGCTTCATTCAAAGGGGCCATGGAAAATCAGTTAAAACAGAGATGAAACGAATGCTTACAGGCTTGTATCTCAGAGCATCCCTATAGGATCCGAACAAAGCCGCCTGTGCCCTCAGAAAGGCCCGAGCCACTCCATCTCCTGTAGCCGTGGACTGCTTCTTCAGCTTATTTTTCAAGGCCGAGACCTGCATGGCAGAGAGGAACAGTTAAATTAACACCTCAGAAATTGGTACAGCAAGGTACGAACCCAATCAGCAGGCAAAGCGCAATGTCTGCAGGTCAGCCAAAATTCATCCTCCTCCCTGAGAGCTTATCTTTTTAGCTGCACCAAGCACCTGCTGCTCTGCTAATTGAAACGAGAGCTGGAGAGGATAGTAATGTGCTAATGCAAATTGGTTTATGCTCTCTTTTTTCCCAAGGCCTCTTGACATAAATAAGCTTTAATTATTTACAGTAAACTGCTTGTGCGGCACTTTCCTGCAGATTTTTAGCAATTATAACGTGTGTCTACTTGTTTAGAGATAAAGCTGGTTCAGTTGCCTTCGTTTCTGTTGGGTATTGTTATTTGTTAGAAGTCCTTCAAGATCATTTACAATTTTACTTTCTGTTTGGAAGCATCATTTGCATAAGTAATTTTCTCTTTTTATCATTATCAGAAGGAAAGAGAGAAGAGATAAAGTCACACCGGCCACGAATGGGAACTTATGTAAATGTTATTTATTGTCTCATTGCAATTTCACCACATTTTAAGAAAAACATTCATTTTATCACTTATAAACGAAGAAACTTGGGACAAAGATAGGAACCAGTTTGCTTTCATTGTGTGGCTCCTCAGAGGCAAAGCTGTGATGCAAATGCAGCGTTCAGGATGTCCCACTGCCATGTGCTAGACTGGAGCTCCGGATCACTACCACACCGACCAGCAAGCAGAACAAAATACTCACGTTCTGCAAACACGGAATTTTTATACGATAACATGAAAAATTTGAAAAGCTGTTCAACTGCTACAATATTTCACACCTAGTCCAATTTCGGGTGCTATGCATTTTAGAAATGGAGTGTAAGAGGCTAGTGGACTCACAGATGGAAGTGAGCTCATACTCAGGATGCTATCTTTTTATTCACTTCACTAACTACTTCCAATCAAAATAGAAAAACCATAGTCTGTACACTTTAAAACAAATTTCATAGACATTTCTTATCGATACATTTTAAATAGAAAACTGTGAGGTTGCATTCTATTTTCTTAAGGAAATAAAAACTAATTTAGAGACAAGTTTTAACTAGATTGCTCCCTGAACACAATATTATCTGTATAAACTACCAGATAATAAAATAATACCAATTATCCTTTAAATATGTGCAAAGGGGAATATTTTTATTTCTTTGTTCAAGCAGTCCTGACTACTCTTGTAGATGATGATTGTAATTGAAGTGTGAACCTAATTAACAACTAAACTTTGAATAATGCTAATGAGAAATGAACACAGCATCAGAGGAAAGACCAGCTCTACAGGTGATAAACCTTCACAGTAGTGACATTTTCCAGTGTAAAGTCACAGTTACTGTGATCTCATCAAAGAAACAGACCCCCATTGGGTCCAATTATAACTATAGTTTTGAAAAATTATTGAGTTATGGTATTCATAATCTATGCAGAAAGGCCTTTGTGGTATAGGTCTTCTCCCCATAGCTGTGATCTTTTCAATTTATATCCAAGCTCTACAGATTCAGATAAAAATTTAGAGCCTAATTCATTTGACCAAAAAGTGCTAAACCAGTTTCATTTCAGAGAAAGCTTTTGTTATTAAAATCTAAACTCAGTTTGGGTAATCCAAATATCCAAACAATAATGCAGTTCAAACACGCTTCAGATTTAATGTCCTTTATTCTGACTTGAAATGGTACTTTTCTCGATTAAGAAAATAGAAACAAATAACAAAATATATATTCTCTTACTGTCCTTCCAATAAAGAATATAAGATATATACATTAGAAGAACTAAAAGAATGAGTTTTTTCCAACTTTTCTACAGAAAAAATGAAACAAAAACTTCACTTATTTACAAAAGCTATGCCTTGTATCTTTGCAAAATAAAGTTCTTCAAGTTGTACTTTTCAGAAACAACAAATGGAACTGTTTGGGCAGTCGGCACATGCTCACGGAATGGGGAGCATCACACACTCCCCACCTTCCCTTCACCATGCCCTGAACAGAACAGCCTTATCTGAGCTACTCCAGAGTAGTCCCAGCGTTGAGCCCTTCCCAACCAAAGGAAGACAGCACCTTCACTTCTACAGACAGTCACATGGTGATCGTCTCTTTTAGTATCCAGAGTACAAGAAAGAAAAAAGAAAGCTCCTCTTTTATAACTATGCTTTCCAAAACGGCAGCCATTAGGGCCATGAGCAAAAGAATGTCCCCATCCAAGTTCACACCTGCTCCAAGTATAAAGCAAGCCTCACATCTACAAGAGTCTGTACACAAGGAAACTCACAACAAATTTTATGTTGACTAGATTTTAAAGCACTGTTCTGAGCAGAGGAAGATAAAACACATCATTACACCAATTTTGCCTATTCTTTGAATTTATGAATGTGGTTTCCAGAAAACTTGTGATGACCTATATGGATCTCATTGTGTTTCTCTTGATTAGTGCTATGGTAAGTCCTATCTAACTTTATATAAATGTATTAGATGCAAAACTTCCTAGTAAGATATGTGCTTTTTCTTCGCTTGTTTCTATACTATTTCATGTACTTTCTTGGCTTGCTCTAGATCAACATAACTGTCACTAGATCTGATTTCCAGGAGCCAGAAGGGCAACTGAATTCAAGACTTCTAAGTGTGAATACAAGTGCTCAATAATAGTATATCAAAATAAAGTTGCTTTTAAAAATCCATTTTAGGAATAAGTGTATTAATCTAATATAAACTTGCTGTTCTCACTGGCCTTTAGATCACTGCTGTAAATCAACAATGGTTACCACTGCCCTTTGGTGCTAATTAGCTTTCAGCAGTTTTTAATCTATAATCTGATCGTGTCTCTTCTGCACCCTTTTCAGCACCTGCTTTTTGAAATAATATTTTCTACTTCTGTTCCAAGCTTCTAGCTTTAGGTATGAAATAAATGTACGTCCTCCTCTGGGCCTGCAAATTTCTATTAGCATGCAACTCTGAGTTCACAAGAAATATTTAGGACTTTGGTCACAAGTTGTTGTCACAAATCCTGTTACACTGAAAAAAACACGAATCACTTGTTTCCTTAAATGGGCTATACTGACCCTTCACTTGCTAAAGATTATGTCATAGCTTTTATTAAACTTTATTTTTAGACCATTTTCTGCCTCTAAATATATTTTCCATCTAGTTATATATACATAAGTCAAAAAAATCGTTAATGGAAAAAACCTTCAGAAATAGACACTTTCTCTCCTTGTACAAGGACAATTGGGCATTCACACAGTCATTCACAGCATTAGAAGCAGGAATTTTTTAAATTTTATGTTTGTTTGTTTGCTTGTTTTTCAAGACAGGGTTTTGATGTAACTTTGGAGCCTGTCCTGGAACTAGCTCTTGTATTCAAGGCTGGCCTCAAACTCGCTTAGATCCACCTGTTTCTGCCTCCCGAGTGCTGGGATTAAAGGAATGCGCTATTACCGCCCTGCTTCAGTGACTGGGTTCTTATAGCAAGAACTTACAAAGAGCAGAAGACCTGGTCTTATCAACTAGTGCACAAAATAGTGTGTGAACCCATGGCCAAGGAGCCATGGTCAGGCTGTTCACATTCTCCATCTTAGCAATGAAGTGCAAGACTGTATGTGCATGATAATGACACAAAAAAGTCAGTCTGTGCAGACGGGCACATCTGCAGGTGTTTGGTAGAGGTCTGTGCAGACGGGCACATCTGCAGGTGTTTGGTAGAGGTCTGTGCAGACTGGCACATCTGCAGGGTGCTTGGCAGAGAAACAGTGGGTGTTTCTCTTCATTTCTACAGTTGATAGGTGAATCCATGGCCACAGTATTATTGTTATGAAGAAAAATAACAACCCTTACCTAGATATTCTATTTTATGTTCGGAATCATGGTAAACAGCAAGAATAAAAGTGTTCTGCTACAACAGTGATCAGCATGGCATGGAGGCCTTAAAAAAGCAACAGTGAGTAGCTCAACATGTTGACCCCGAGGGAGCAACGGTGATCAGCATGGCAAGGCTCTTCTCCTAAGGGAGCAAAAATGGCATGCATGTCATGGCTAACTACCAGGGATAGTTAAGTTACGGATAGTATAACCCATACCTCACTAAAACAGCAGAATACCTAACTACATTCTAAGTACTAATTATAAGTGTTATTCTCACATATCAACAAGGAAACCATTACAGAAAACCACAACTCATCAATATACAGAATTGTGGAGCCCATTCCCAACTGATACATCTATTAGACAACTCTTGTACCTAAGGCTAAGGAATCACTCCATAAGAGAGGACAGAGAGATTGTAAGAGCCAAAGGAACAGGGAGTTTCCTGTAAGATTCTGACTCCTACAAATGTTAGAAACTACAGCCATAAAGTCTCGCCAACATGAACACCTAAACAGAAGTCGAGTAAGAATAATACCAATAGGCATGCTAACATGGACAGAGGAAATCCCAAGCCCTCGACCCTAGACAAAGAACTCCAGGTGATTAAGAAATACTAAGTGTGAAGAATATAATTAATTATCCAATAGCAAGTAGTCACCTAGGAAACACACAAGTAACACTATATAGACTGAGCAGGTTATATTTATATAGAGAGAACTACATACACACATGTATATAAATGGAACCATAATTTTAAAGAGGCATACTTAAACACACTAAGTAGGCCACCTTAAAGAAGGACATGATGAACTTAGCTGTGTTATGAAAGCCTTATCTAAGTTTTTGTGCTGATAAAAATGGTATGTAAGCTTGATCAAAGTCATGTCCACTTCAGCTGTGTCAGTCCACATGTCCTCAACATCTTCTTAATGTTAGTCCCAAATTTTGAATAATACATGGATAACCTAGTTATTTCCCTTGTGACCTGGTGTAGAACCAGGCAAATGGAATATGAACTAGGTTGTGTGTACCTTACCTGGATTTCTCCTTTCTTAGGAAGTAGAGAACAAATAATGAACAGGTACCTTAACCCTGGAAT